GAGGGGAGCGAAAGGAAAGGAAGATGCCGCAGCATTTCTCGTGGGTTGCATGTCGGGGAGGACACCCCGGGGTAAAAGTCGTTCAAATCGCGGCCTCGGGGAGGAAGCGCGTCCTCCGCCTTTCTTAGCTTCTTGCCTTCTGCCTCCTCTTCTCCTCCTGCTGCTGCCGGACGCTCGGGTTAGACAGACAGAGTTGCGGGATCTGTGCGTTAGGACGGATTCCCAGGGTCCCCTTTCCCATCCCCTGCGCTTGTGGAATGGGACAAGAGAGAAGGAAGACGAGAGACAGAGTCACCTGTCCCAGGCAGTGTATGCCTAGTGCCCTCCCGTCCCTGCAGGAGCCCGTGTGGTCCAGATGCTTCTGCTGCACTCGGGCTTCCTCCCAGGTGGGGTCCCAGGCTCCCCCCACTGTCAGCTCCTTTGCACAAGACGTGTGGCTTTCCATCCGTGACAGCAGGCACAGGCAATGTCCAGCATGACGTGTCCTCCCCGACCCTAACCCTTCCCTACAGGAGCGCTGCAGAGGAAACCCAGCCCTGAAATCCCCGGGACAATGACGCAGGGCAGTGGGTGGGCCTGGAGTGGGGCATCGGCCCTGCATTTGAAGAAACGATTTTCATGTTTTAAACGTTTTAAATCAAAAAATGTAATTTGTGTCTAGTTGGAAAAGGTGATACGTGTTTGTTGTGAGTTTCAGGGTTTAGACATCTAGAGCAGCGGTCCCCAACCTTTGTGGCACCAGGGACAGGTTTCATGGAAGACAATTTTGCAGCAGAAGGATGGGGGCGGGGGAGGCGAGCTCAGGCGGTGATGCCCGCGATGGGGAGAAGCATGAACACAGACGAGGCCTCGCTCGGCTCCCGCTCCCCTCGCCTCCCCCTGTACGGCCCAGTTCCTAAGAGGCCACCGACTGGTACCCGGCCGCGGCCCAGGGTTGGGGACCACAGATCTAGAACATTTTGGGGACAGAGAGGAAATCTTTCTAGGCCTCCTAATCTTTATTTTTTTAATTCACCTTGAAGAGATTAAATTGTCTTTCAGGGGCCGGCGAGGGTTGGTGCCGGATTCGAGGCACTCGAGGAAGTTGCCGTGTTGAACACAGGTGAGGGGCTCGGGCGCTCCCTGTCCCCAGAGGAACTGGGACACGTTCTCTCACTGAGTTCTGAAGATTCCTGGAAGACAGCAGGGTCCCCCTGGAATCCCCACTGTCGCTCAAGGAGCCCTGGGGAGACACCCTGCCCTTTCTGTATCTCAGTGACCTGTAGGAAGCAAAGATTACGTTACCCAGTGTTCCAACACCCTTGCAAAGGGCACATGAAATAGGGAATGCGAACCTGATTTGAAAACAAGAATGCCCTAAATGCAAGGACCTTGTTTGCACTGCAAAAGGGATTGTGGAAAATACAGAAGTAAAAGACGTGGTTTAGCCCTCAAGGGGCTTACAGACTGGGTGAGAACACCAATCCCTGATGGCCTAATCCTGTGGCACACCCCAGCACGAGTTCACAGTAAGATCTTTTGGGGTTAGAGGAGAAGAGAGCTTCGTGTTGAATAACGTGTAGGGAAGCGGCATAGTCTTTCAAGCTTGGGAGAACCAAGGTCAAGGACACCCAAGGGGACGTGGCATACTGGCATCAAGGAAAAACGGCTGACAAGACCAGAGTGTTGAGGAATGACAGGGAACAAGTTGGGATACAAAGGGACAGAAGCTTTGAAGGTGGGGTCAGTCAGAGCCATGTCCCCAAAGAAAGCCTATACCCACATATGATGATTTTTATACCCTAACATCCAACTGTCTACTCGATACATCTGGTAACCTGCAGATGAAAAAGTATGAAAATCTATTTCCCAAATGTTTTGGAAACTGTAAAAGGGAACATACACATGGGTTGTTATTTTAATATACTTTTGTTAAATAAAGATAACCCAAGAATAGAAGTAGTCGTTTCCTCTTGAATTTCTGAAGGCATTAATCATGGAAAATTATCCAGGAAAATGCATTTTTGCATCCTAATTTATTATTTTTAGAAATACTAAATAAATAAAACATTTGGGGAGAGAAATGGTAGAATTGCAGGCTTAGAAATTTTCCGAGTTTTGCAAAAAGATAGATCAATGAGATTGTCGTGCCAGCCAACTTCCCTTCACCTTGAATTTCAAAGCACTCATTTTTGAAGTTGGGTTTTTTTTTCTTTTCTGTTCTTTTAAAATCTTTCCCCTGGGTTTTGAATGGCTGGCGCCAGGTTCATGCCAACTTAGCTCATTAATTGGTGCCACTGGTTTTAATGAAGCAGGAGTTTGGCTAAGAATGGGGACTGCAAGGCAGATGGAGAACAGGACAGCAATAATGGAAAATGCATATTTATAGACTTCTGTGAGCACAGGTTATTGATTTAGTGCAGCTTAATGGGTTCTACGTTTTTCAAATTTCCCCAGCCATCTTATAGAATTATTTTCCAATTCTTACATGGGTTTCAAAAGCTGTTTTCGCATGGTTTATAATGCCTGTTAAATTGTCCTAGGATTATGTATTTGTTTAGAAATACATAAAATGTGTTTTTTTTGGGGGGGGGAGGTAGCAGCTAAGATTTTTTAAAGCTCATGCATGCCAGTGAAGCCAGTGGGCATGAAATGAGCCAATAGTAAAGCCTGGAAGGTTGACAACAGGAGAATTTAAGGGTTGTATATGTGCTATCATGGTATCCAAGTGGGGACTTATTTATTGGCATAACCATTTCTTCAAGAAACCTCAATTTAGTGCGTTTACTAGGTCAGATTGCATTCGACTTGAGCCTACTACTTTCACCTAAATTTAGAACAAGGCAGATTCAACCGACTCTGCCCCAGCAGGACAGAGCCATGTGGACAGAAAACATCCAAGAGGAAACTCAGCAGAGCTGCCCTGCCTGAGGGTCAGCAGAGGAGCCATCCCCGCATGGGGTCTTTGGGGTCTGAGATATCCAGTCCTCTGCTACATGTACTTGGACATTCTTTAGATCTGTGGTCCCCGACCCCCGGGCCGAGGACCGGTACCTATCCATGGCCTGTTAGGAGCCCAGCCGCACAGCAGGAGGTGAGTGGTGGGCAAGCGAGTGAAGCTTCGTCTGTATTTACAGCCGCTCCCATCACTCGCATCACTGCCTGAGCTCCGCCTCCCGTCAGATCAGTCACTGTCTCCCGTCGCCCCCAGATGGGACCGTCTAGTTGCAGGAAAACAAGCTCAGGGCTCCCACTGATTCCGCATTGTGGTGAGTTGTATAATTATTCCATTATATATTACAGCGTAATAATAATAGAAATGAAGTGCACAATAAATGTAATGTGCTTGAATCATCCTGAAACCATCCCCCCCACTCCACCAAGTCCATGGAAAATTTGTCTTCCCTGAAACCGGTCCCTGGTGCCAAAAAGGTTGGGGACTGCTGCTTTAGATGATCACCAGCTTCCTGGCCAAACTAAAAATTTGCAGGTCCGAGGCGGCAGAGAACTTTGTCATAAGGATATAAGTGTGGTTTTCGAATCGGGTAGGTTTAACGTAAATGGGTATTGGAGTGACATGGGAACTCCCTGGATATCGGGAGCCAGAGCCGCAATGTCATGTTTGGTCCCAGCACACTTTCCAGCAGGAGTCCCCTGAGGAAGCATGAATGTTCTCTCTGGCGTGTCGGCCGAGCAGGAGAAGAATGGCCCTAATGCTCCAGGAGAGGCCAGCAGTAACGCTCCCATGTCAAGGAGAGCACCAGGGAGGCTTATTTCCGAATGAGCAGCCATTGCAGGGCCCTGAGAGCCAGGACCCCTTACAATGAGGAAGGAGAGTCTGTTCCTTCCGGGGCTACAACATTTTGGAGGTGGTTTTTCAAGTCTTTTTTTTTTT